GAATAATTCTTTTTCGACTGTTGAATAATTTCGTTATACGGAATCCAAGGTATGGGATGCATAAGCGATGACATGAGGTTCTTTCTCGATCTTTTATCCGAGCAAAACCCCAACACTTTCATCCGAAGCATCACATATAACTTCGAAGGGAAAGTTCCAATTTGGCGGTTGGACTATGGGTGCCGAAACTAGCATTTCCCTTAATACGTCGAATGATTGTTGGCATTGCTGGTCGAAATTAAAGATTTTATCCTTTTGTAAATGTTCGTATAGAGGTTGTGCCACCTTAGAGAAGTCCTTAATGAATCTACGGTAAAAACCTGCATGACCAAGGAAATAGCGAATTTCCCTCACCGTAGTGGGGTAAGGAAGTGAACGTATTATATCGGTTTTCGCCTTATCTACTGTAATTCCTTTAGATTAAACAATATTTCCTAGAATTAAACATTTATCAACCATAAAGTGACATTTTTCATAATTCAGAACAAGGTTGAATTCTAGGCACTGACGCAACACATTTTTCAAGTTTAATAGACTCTTATCAAATGAATTACCGTAAACAGTGAAGTCGTCAATGAAGACTTCAATACCTTTCTCAATAAAATCAGAAAATATACTAATCATACACCTTTGGAATGTGGCAGATGCATTGCAAAGTTCGAAAGGCATACGTCGGTAAGCGAAGGTGCCGAAGGGACATGTGAACGTTGTCTTTTCTTGATCTTCAGGTACTACCGGAATCTGGAAGAAACCTGAAAATCCATCAAGACAACAATAGTGAGATTTACCGGCTAATCGTTCTATCATCTGATCTATGAATGGAAGAGGAAAATGATCTTTTCGAGTTAAAGAATTCAACTTCCTGTATTCGATGCAGACTCTCCATCCATTCTGAACTCGTGTTGGTACAAGTTCTCCCTTAGAATTTTCAATCACAGTAACTCTTGTTTTTTAGGAACTACGTGTATCAGACTTACCCATTTTCTATCCGAAATTGGATATATAATATCTGCATCTAGGAGTTTTTATATCTCTTTTTTTACCACTTCCATCATTGGTGGATTTAACCGGTGTTGACCTTCACGTGTTGGTTTTGCACCTTCTTCTATTTTAATTTTATGTATACAAGTAGATGGACTCAACCCTTTTATATCAGCGATGGTTCATCCTATAGCCTCCTTGTATTGGCACAAAACAGTGATTAAGTCCCTTTCCTCCTCCTCGGATAACTTTTTTTATGATTACCAGCAGAGTGTTATTTGCTCCGAGGAATGCGTATTTCAAATGATCAGGCAATGGTGTCAGTTCAACTTCAGGTGCCTTCAAAACAGAAGGTAAGACTTTAGACTTAGAAGAAATCAAATTTAATTCGGTATGATCAGAATTCATGTTTTCATCATGATACTCTAGCTCCCTGCATATATCAAAGGAAAAATTAGTCCTTAAAAATTCATCAGTCAAAGGATCAATTAAATCGACAGAATTTAAACTTTCCACTTTCTCAGGATATCTCATTGCCTTATATATGTCAAATTTAACGACCTTATCGACGAATTCCATAGTTAAAATTCTGCTCCTCACGTCAATTTTTGTGTGTGCAGTGCTTAGGAAAGGGCGCCCCAAAAGGATATCAGATGATGTGCTCGTGTGATTATTCTCCATGTCGATTATATAAAAATCGGCGGGAAATATCAAGTTGTTTACCTCCACCAATACATTCTTTAAGAGTCCTTCTGGATAGATCACCGACCTGTCGGCAAGCTGTATCGAAATCTTTGTATCCTTCAAAGGATCGTTAGTAACCATTTTATAAACAGATAGAGATATTACATTAATTGATGCACCAATATCACATATTGCTCGTTTGATCTCAACTTTTCCAATTTTACAAGGGATTGCAAACATACCATGGTCCTTTAGTTTATGTGGTAACTTTCGTTGGAAAACGACTGAGACGTTCGCTCTTAAGTTCATTTTCTCGACTCCGGTAAGCTTTCGTTTAGTCGTACAGAGATCCTTTAAAAACCGGGCATACCGTGGAACCTTTCGGATAACCTCTAAGAGGGGTATGTTAACTTCCACCTTTCGAATTACATCTAATATTTCTTTTTCCTCAGCTTTTTTATTCCTTTTGACTAACCTCGACGGAAAAGGCAGTGTCACATCATAGGGAGATGGCGTTGGATCATCTATTTGTTCTTCGTTATTCTCTTCCTGGGGCCCTGAATCATCAGTCTTCTTCTCTTTCTGTGTTACTTCGTTTGATGGAACATGTGGTGCCACTACTGTACCGCTCTAAAGAGTGATGGAACTGATGTTCTCCCTCGGGTTTACTTCAGTTTAAGACGGATGCCTACCTTATGATTCCAAGCGATCTACGGTTTGAGCTAGTTGGCTCTCTTGCTTGTCTATCTCTTGTAAGTGAGATTCAGTATGATTCTGGAAATTTTCCTGGAAAAGTGCTACCCTCTCGACAATTGATTCTAATGATGACTTCTGTAGTTGTTGTGGTGCTTGATAGCCTTGATTTGGTCTCGAGTAATGAGCATAGCTGAAATTTGGATGATCCCTCCATCTTGGGTTGTATGTATTGATGTAGGGATTGTAAGCTCTTTGGGGAGGTCCCAAAAATTTTCCGATTGCATTGGCTACTGCATCATCTTGAATCAGTGGACAACTGTCTGTCGGATGATCAGGTAATGCACATATTCCACATAATCGGTTTTGTCCTGTCTTCCTTGTAACAAGAGAGTTTATGACTTCAGTTAGCTTATCTATTTTATTTTCTAAGGAAGATGAACTTATGTCATGAACCCTTCGAGAAGGTTCATTATTTGTTCAAAATTGTTGGGAATTTGTAACCATCGTGGATATTAAGTCTCTAGCCTCAGTAGGAGTCATATTCACCAAGGGTCCACCGCTGGCAGCATCGATTATCTTCATTTCCAGGGGAGATAATCCTTCATAAAAGTATTGAATGAGTGTTTGTTCAGTTAACCCATGTTGTGGGAACCTGGAACATAACTTCAACCGCTCCCAGTAGTCGTAAAGTGACTCTCCATCAAGCTGCTTAATTCCAAGTATTCTCGTTCATAGTTCACTTGCTTTCACCTCAAGGAAAAACTTGTCCAGAAAAAGACTAGTCATTTGAGCCCATGTAGTTACAGAATTAGGGGGAACATAAAATAATCATTCCTTAGCCGAATCGTCTAAGGAAAAAGGAAAAGCTCTGAGTTTTATTTGGTCATCGGTTACTCCCTGTTGTCTCATGCTGGAGCAGACCATATGAAATTCATTGAGATGTTTATGTGGATCCTCGTTTAACAATCCACGGAATGTAGGGAGAAGATGAATAACGCCAATTTTCATCTGGTACGGAGTTTCGCCTTGGGGAAAAATCAATGCTCAAAGGCACTTGTTTAGTAGGTGTCGCGGCTAACTCCCGGATAGTAAGATCGGCCATCGGATTTATATTACCTGAATTTGATTCTTCTTTTGGATTTATTTATTGTCCCCTTCTTTCCCGAAGCGTCTGTACGTGGAGTCTCCTAGCTTTGGCTTCGATCTCCGGGTCGTACTCCACTAATGCTCCCGGATTAGTCCTGGTTATAAATCAAAAGCAAACAATAATTAGTAACTTTGGCGAAGTCCCCGGCAACGGCGCCAATTTGACAACTATCGTTTTTTATGTCAAATAAAATTCTTTCTTCTCGGATAATAAATAAAAAAAATTCATAGTATAGAGAAGTAAGGGTCGATTCTACAAGGACTTAGGAAATTATAAACTTTTGTTCGGTTTGTTTACACTAGGCGTGAAAGTAATAAATAGGGGGTTTGGTAATGAGATATTTAAATGATAAAAGCAATTAAATAAATAAAAGCAATTTAAATAAAAATAAGAGAATAGAGATTGTGAATAAATACGGTAAAATAGCCTCAAGCCTTGCTTTGACTCAATTTCCTTCTGATCATCGAATAAGATTTTCTCTTCGGGATTCACGTCGGTTACTTTGTCTACGAGGGAAATCCCCGTGACTCTATCTTGTATACCAAATACCCAAGGTAATCTTTGATTTCGGCTTCAGGAATTGATTCTAACAACATCAATTATCGTAGATCAATTTCCGTTTAAGTTCGTGGCAACCGACTCCAAATGTTGTTTCAATAACCGTCAATTCTGATCTCAAATCCCTCTTGACGAAGCTATCTCGCCAAGTGTATTCCCAGGAAGTCGAATTGCTTTCTATAAGCCGAATCTTCCTCCCACACGTTTAATCGCAACAACCTCTTGACCAAAGTCAATCTTTGATTTTGAAAACTGTTTTGATTTTGAAAAATAAGTGCAAAGATTGAGAGAGATATTCCGAAGATATTAAGGGCCTGTTTCAATTCTCCCGTTGGAATTGAATCATCGCGTCAGCTCTCGGCTTATGAAAAATTTAGCTAAGCATGAAAAAATCATACTTAGCATTTTGAAAACAAAGCTTGAAAAATAAAAGAAAAATGAAAAGAACTTGAAAAGTAAAAAGAAAGCTTTTATAAAAACTAGAGAGAAAAGAATATTGTAATCTGAGTGATGAGTTTAGGCTTACCCCAAGTGCGTATTTATAGTCTCTCAAAACCTAAGGATAAACAAGAAAATAAAATAATCCTAAGATAATTGTTTTTCAAATTTAAATTCAAACTTAAACTAGTCTCCTAATGCAACTCTGCTCATCCATCTTCCAGAATGCGTGCGGAGAAAGTCTTCTAGAAGCCGTCGCTGACTGGACCTTCTAGAAACTGCCACGTCAGACCGCATCGTGTCCAGAGTCGTGCCCATGTCTCCAGCCGTGACTAAATAATAAAAAAATGCAGAATTCGCTCGTTTTTTCACTAATTTTGGAAAGCAAGGACCTGCACAAAAATAAGTATAACACGACCAATTCAGCAACAATAATTCCACAAAATCGAAGAAATAATGAGCAAAGATTAACGATTCTGAATACTCATCAGAAAAGTATGTATTTATAAGGAATTGTGTTTATTTTCACAAAAAGGGAAATGAATAGGATTATCTTACCTTCTACTAAATACACATTAAGAAGGTGTTTGGTCCATGGAAAAAGTTATTATCTAGGTAATAATCTTTTCCGGAAAAAGATTCTCGTCACAACATCATTTTTTTCTCCAAGAATGATGCCATTTCTTAGGTTGGTATAAAATATCACTGAAATAATTTTATTTATTCATACAAATCATACTCTTTAATATAACAACATATTCACTTATTTAACTCTGATTCCATTTTTTATATAAATATGATTGATGGGGTAAATTTACAAGCTATCTTGGATTTCTTAGGTTTTATTCTAACCCTAAATTTAATATCCATTATAATTAATATCATGTAAAAATAACATATATAATATAGTACTATAACACTAAAATATATATTAAATTATTTATCTAAAAATTTTATAGAAGAAGATTATGTAAAATAGAAACAATAGAAAAAACTAACATGTTTTTGAAAAATTTATTTAAAAATACAATAAATATTCTAAACATATGAATAGTATATGATATTCAAATTAATTATAGAAGAAAAAAATTAAAGATCTAATCTTGTATTAAAGAGAGCAAATGACTAACTATAATAGCAATTCCTTGACAAAGTGTAGTAGGACTAGGAAGTCAAATAATTGATGATTTTTTAGGGTAAAGTACATAAATAGTCCATCGACTATAAGGTGATGTTTTATTGAGTCATTTGATCATTTAAAATAATAAAATGGTCCCCCGACTATATGGTGTTGTTTTGTTGAGTCCTCCGGCTATTAAAAGTTACAAAATAGTCACCTGACTATTTACTATGTTCTAAACTCGTCATTTTTTGTTAAAATATTAACGGCAACTTGAGTTAGATGTTAATCTGCTGACTAAGATATGATAAAATATAATTCTAGAATCTCAAAAAATTATCATATCTCAGTCAACAGATTTATATCTAGCTCAGACTGTTGTCAATTTTTTAATAAAAAACGACGAATTTAGAACATACTAAATAGTCGTGTGACTATTTTGTAACTTTTAATAGTCAAGGGACTTAATAAAGTATCACCCTATTGTCGAGGGACTATTCGTGTACTTTATTTTTAAAAAATATTATTATTATAATACTAAGTATATTAATATTTAACAAAATTTAGATAATGTAACGAAAATAATTTTATCAGCTAATCTTAGATTTTTCAACCAACCAAACACGATAATCCTGCATTATTGTCAAATAAACTAAACAAGTTAATCTAACATTCATGTCAAGCAATATTATATTCCAAGAATTTCATTATTAGAGTTAATGTTATATTCTGTGAACCAGCTGTCCCCTATGAGGTATAAACAATTTGAACCAGTCAGCCAAGAATCAATACATTGGTCATTCCTTTTTCTATCATGGCCCTCATTGCTTATATGCATTCTGCAGATATGCATGCTTGAATTTACTTATTTTGTTTGTTAATCCATAACAGTGTGAATATCTCAGTAGGAGAGTAAGAAGACCGGATGATGATGACTGGGATGCACACCGTTGTTGATATATTCTGTGTGGGGTGTGGCTCAATTGTGGGATGGAAATACGTAAGAAATAGTTTTGCAATTTTTGGAGTTTTTGCTGCTTTGATTTCTTTCGAGGCTTAGTTCCATGAGTTAAATTCAGTAGAGCATCTTCCTTTTTCCTAATGTTGTGAATTGTGTGTGATTTGATTCTAGGAGTCTGCACATGAAAAGACTCAGAAGTACAAGGAGGGAAAATTCATTCTTGAGAGGTCCCACCTTCACTCTCTCTTCTGCTTGCATATGATCAGGGATTTAAATAACGATATGTTATATAGCGATATCGGTGTTGTTCGAAACTGTTGTTGCATAACTGCAATACCCACAATAACACCCGCTATGTCCGTATTCGCGATAAATCCAAAACAACTAAAAATACGGCTGCAACTGTTATTTAAATCCCTGAATATAATAATACTACATATTCTCAAATGTATTTTTTCTTTTTTGAACTGTGGAGCAGGTTTAAGGTGTTGGGTCCTGATGGAAGCAACTACACGGTGAGCCATGAAGCTGTGGTTAGGGCAGTGATTCTTATACTACCAAATGTTTTAATTGTACATTCTCTTCACCTCATGTGATTTTTGGCCTCTTAATGTGGAAAAATTCTGTTAGATAACCTCTGCAAATGATACGAAAATGATACCATTCTTCCAAAGTCCATTTTTGTTTCATTGGTTGCTTATGAAATCTTTATGCAAGTCTTATTAATTATTATAAATGGCATTTTAGTGGTTATCCTTAAGATAATTAATGCATGAACTACACCAATTGAGTGACACTCTCTTGAGGTCTTAAATTCGAGCAGCGTCAATGGTGAAGTAAGGTTATGAACAAATACTATCTTTGATCAACGATTGAATACATCTCTTTCATAAAATCACCACATTTCCTTCTCTTGCATCCCAGTACACTCTTCCTCAAATATACGCAGAAGACAAAACAAAGTGCTACCTAAACAAATAGTACAAAATAATGGTTACTTCACATGGTAGAGTACACAAGAACCTAACAGAAAAAAAAGGAAGCAGTGTTTGTATGTACATACTAACAGTACTAATGCAGTACCAGTAGCCTAACCCTTTCATTTAACAGAAATGAAGCATAGTAATGTGCATTCTGCTTAAAAGACTATATAAGATTTAGTTTATAGTGTAAATGAGCTATCGAAATCTTAAAACATTGAGAAGCTTCTGCAATGCGTTTCGACCCCATTGGACATCACTCTGCAACACGTTGCTTCGAAAAGACTCCGGATCAGGTTGTTCTTCTTCGGCTACTAGGGGATCCTGAATATGTTGATTGAGCTGCTCCTCTTCTTCGGCTACTAGGGGCTGCTGGATATGTTGGTTGAGCTTTTTGTGATCTTTTGCTTTTACGGGTTCCTGAATATGTTGGTTGATATTTTGTTCCCTGTAGTCCTTGATTGCTGCAGTTGTTTCTTTTTCCTGTGGTGTACCTTCGGGTTCTTGCTTTTTTTCTGGCTGAATATTGTCACATTGGGCAGTAAAATACAACAATGTCAAAATTTTCAAGGGAAGAATTACATATCATTCTCAGGAAGATACAAGCTGTAACCAGATATTGCTAACGAAGTAGCATGAAAATTCTTAACAGGAATAGAAAAGATGTTGAAGAAGAAAAGAAAGGGTAGAGCAATACCTCGGACGATCTCTGATTTAAAGCTTCATTAACTCCAACCGATGCATCAGTTGTAATATTTTTGTCATCTTCACTCACCATTGATTCTTCAGCTGACATTGTTTCTACTGGACTCAAGCCAGGCACTAGGACAGGATTACCTTCATATTCTTCCAAATTTCCTTCGGCATCGGCGGTTTCTACTCTGTCGTTTTCTCCAAGGTCTTCTGCTATCAAAGCATTCATATTTGAAACATCCAAAGCCTCATCATACGGGTAGTTAGTTTTACTCGAACAGAGCACTCCATTATCTGCATTTGCTATAAAGTCTTCTTCTGGGTAACTAATATTCTCAGCAACGATAGGCAAGGGCTTCTCTAGTAAAGTATCAACATCGCCGGTTGCTGATTCCTCGGATAATGCTTGTAATTGTTCCATTCCAGGAGAGGTGGGATTTGCCTCAGCGATTAGTTCTTCCTCCGGAGGTTTAAAGTTTTCTACAGCAATTGCCATCTCAGAATCAAGAAGAGGTCCATCTTCATTAGCGATCAGCTCTTCTTCAACGACTTTCTGATTTTCAGCTTTTTCCCAGTCCTCACAAACAATAATGGTATTCTCGGTTTCAAGGGATTCAAAAATCCGATCTGGGTCCGGTTGCCATAAAAGGTCCCCAGTTCGAGTTTTGAGAAGGAATTTGAACTGGATAGATACTCCAACAGGTATGCCCTGAGCAAGTTCAAAATAACAAATCCCTTCAATGCGTAGCCTTTACAAGTTTCAGAAGAAAAACAATTAACATTCTGCATAAAATTCCTCCTTACCAGCTCTGCTGTCCAAACATGTCCTTCTGACCAAGTCAGTGGTAGAGCACTTTCAGGATCCCATAACCCTAACAAAGGATGATCCCCTACTATGAAAAACTGCTCTCCAAATGAACACTCTTTCTGCAACTCGAATTTGACATTAACAGTCTTTGATGGAACTGTGCATCAAAGGATTTGGGATGAGACTAAAAAGTTCAGAAAAAAAACACAATAACAGACAAATAGTTAAAAGGGACAAAAGATCTTACTCTCTTGTTCAGGATTTTCAATACTCTCCAAGTCCACCTACATAAAGGAAATTTTCCAATCAAGAATCAGACAAAGAAAAACACAAAAAAAAGAATGAATTTCAAGAAATTAAAAAAAGAAAAACAAAAAAGGGCTAAAGGGTACATGCCTGTGAGTCTGGTGAGGGAGAAGAAGATGAAAGAAAAGGCTGAAGGCGCCTGTGTTGCCGCAGAGAAAGCAAATGCAAGCACCGGATTCTAACATCTTTTGCAGGGAATAAGCATAATTCAGCTCTATTACGAGAAAGATCCTTGAAGAAACAAGAAAACCCTACATCTTTATGCTTCTCAATGATGGCCTTGGAACAACAACTTCGTAAAGCTTTCATCTTTCCCAACAGTAGCTAAGCTTTCAGTTGCGGTTCATAGAAATCAGTACCTCAAATAACTATACTAATAGCACCATCTTCCACGTGGCGTTTAGACACGTAATCAGCGTTGGAGTAGTGTTGAATCTGAGTTTTTCTTCAGAATCTCAAGCCTTGTTGTTTTGATCCGTGACCGTTGGATTGGACGATGGGCGGTGATATATGTCTCGATATTATTATATATTTTCACTACTAACTTAAGATCTCCAATTAATAATTAAAGCTTGCACAGCAGCTCCATTTTTGGCCACAAGTTTTGGAAAGTTAATTTTTCAAGGTCCAGCCGATAAAGCTTTCGGCTTTAACACTCGCCACAATCCATTCAATCTTTAAATGTACTTATGGGAGAATCAATACAACTATATTAAATTCAAAAAAATATTTCCTCTCAAATACAGTGTTAAAAATTTATTATAACCGGATTAATATATTTTTTATTTTTCATAAATAATTTTTTTAATTGAGAGAAGTCTAGTAAATATTTTTTATTATTTTTTAAAAATATATATTAATATTAATCAATACTTTTACAAAATAATTGGCAACCCCTTGGCCCCATGAAGTTCCACCCATGTACTTTGTCATATAATTTGTATCTTATATTGACTATGCACATAATTTTAGGAAATATATTTATTCAAGAGAAACGAAAAAATTACCTTAAAAACAATTGATTGTTTTGATACGTGCAAATGAGTGGGATAGATAAGGGTAAAAAAAGAAAGGCAGAAAGGCACCTAAAGTCCCTGAACTTTCCAAAAAAAATAATAATGTGGCCCTCATCCTATTTTTTGGATCAATATGGCCCTCTAACTCGAAAAAATACCATTTGACCAACAATTTTCGTCAATAACTAAATGTTATGTTAATTACAACCATTATAAATTGGATAAATTACATCATTCACCACTCAACTATTTTCTTCTCTTATATTTTGGTCGATAAACTTTACAAATTTTCAATTTCGAAAATCCTCGAGACTTCAGGGACTAAGGTTGTAGTTAATGCATTTTACCCCTATTTGTCTAACTTCATTCCTCTCCTTCTCGCCGCTGCAGAGAGTCAAGTTCAACAGAACCGCCATTGATCCTTAAAACAAGATCATTGCATTACCTTAGCAAATGATTAACACATCAGGAGGACGTAAAGAGCTTAGTCATGATAGACCATGATTTCGAAATTAAGCTTATCGAACAAAAGCCTTATGTTTTTCAAGTAAAAGAGCTTACCAAATATCATACTGGTATTGTAGACTTTGCCTCTTTGACAATAGTAAGCATAGTTTATTGCAGATAGTGATAACAACAATCCACCACTTATAAATTTACCTTGCAAATGGGAACATAATTTACCCTTTATTTTCTACATGCAATGCAATAGGTAGAAAAACAAAGCAAAAATAGTACACTAGCCGTGTAACACCCTCTACTCGGCTTAATTAAAAACAGGGTCGGAGATGTAATCGGAAATCACAATCAGATTTTAAACAAGCATTTCTAAATATTCAATGATACATGTGAATCTCATGGCCAATCATGAATAAATCACCCTTGTTAAGCAATTTCCCATGTAGCTTCTGATTAAGAACCAAATCATATCTTTTTCATAACATTAAGGACAAAATTATAATTACTTTACAATTAAGGGACCAAATTAAAAATATAAAGAAAATTATAAGGACTACATTGAATTTTTCAAAATTTAAGGGTCTAAGTGTAAACATGTAACATCCTCAAAACCGAGTTAGTGACTAAATTGTAAAACTTCAAAATTTGGTGACTAAAGCAGAATAATCGAATAGTATTGTAATTTGATATAGGGTTAAATTGCAAGGAAGATGGAATTGAAGGATAGAATAGTCATTTGCGTAGAAAATAATTAAAGAAGAGATATATATTAGCTACACGTGGAAGAGAATGAAGCAAAACACAAGGTTCTAGAGTTCTCTTTTTATCTTCTTTCTCCACAAGTGAAGAGGTCAAAACAAAGGTGAGATTTCTCATGAGCTAATTGTTTGCTGAAATTTAAGTTTTGTTTTGATCATTAGATGATAATTAAGCTTAAGGAAAGCTTAATTTATCTTAGAACAACAAGATGAAGAGTGTATGAAGAATTAAAGGTTAGGAGTTCTTGAATGAAATTTTGAAATAAAGTTCATAATGAGAATTGGAAGTTGAATTTGACTTGTCACCAACTTGAGTAAGGAATATGAAGTATTAGAATTAGATTTAGAAAATGTTGGAATTTGAGTAAGATTCTTGAATTTTATGTGGAGGATTGAATTTTGAAGTTTAAGAGATATTGAATGGGTATAATTAGTTTAAGTAGGTGTATGAAAGTTAGAGACATAAAAAGAGGTGAAATAGGAAGTGTTGAGAGGATTATGAAGGGATTTTCGTTCTCAAAATAACATTTCTGGGCTGTGTGCATCGATACACATTCAATGTGTACCGATGCACTCTCAAATAAATGAACATCGAATTGAATTAGTGCATCAATGCATGAGGAGTGCATCGATGCACTCCCTTAAAATGAAAACATCGAATGTGATTTGTGTACAGATACATAGATAGTGCATCGATGCACATATTAAGGGATGCATCGATACACTATCGAGTGCATCGATACATACCTTCATTAAAAGATAAAAATAGCTTTCTTTTTAGTCTAAGAAGTGATAATTTAGAATATATCAATTAGTATATTGATATGTATCAAATTACTATGTAGATATAGAACATAATCTTGTTCCATAACAAACAAAGTATTAGAATCGAGTCAAAGCAAGGCTAAGGTGAGTGCATATCTTATATGAAATTGTATTGAGATAAGACTTGCGATGAGTCTATCTCTTATAGTTAAACTTATGATTTCACATTCATGTACATGCATATTTATATATGTATTAATGCTATAATGTTTTCATGCATAATTTATTTATGCTTTAATAGGAACTTATTTGAATGAATGCAACAATATGAGAGTCCATTCAGATATGGGAAATAATGAAAATTATCATGTGTACTCATATGAAGTGAATTATGTGTTTATGTGAAAAGTGATAGAAGAGATATGAAAATGAGAATCGTATTATAATTAAGCCCATGTGACTTAACGTGAGAGTTGTAGGTATAATTGGCATGCCAAGAGTTGAGGGATTATCAGTGGTCCTTTGGGACATTGTGGTCCTTCGGGACAAATATTCAGTGCCCCTAGTGGGATTTTATTCGAGATGTGGTGATAGCATTGTGCACAACCTCAGTGTACTCGCGTACCTTCTGTTCTCAATAACGTACATGGGCGATCCAAAGATAAATTAAAGTGAAACTATCATAAGAATACAAGTTTTATATATGTGCATATTATCATCATATTTGTTATAGTGTAATAGATACATGCAAGTTGAAATGTCATGATCAATTGTAAGAATGCATGTTCATGAATTCATTGTTATATAGGTATATATATATATTTATGTTATGCCTCACTAAGTCTGTGACTTAGCGTGTAAGTGATTTACACGTAGGTACCAGGAATCGGGAAGAACAGAAATAGGAGTGGCAAGAACATCAACACTGCTAGAAGATCATATCAGAAGTAACTGATAAAGTATGTATTTTGTTGTATATAGTGTGTTGGCATGTAAGAAAAGTGTCAGTTATGAATGCTCTGATCGATTTTGGTTATTTTGGTCAATTTATGTAAATAAATTACCTTTATTTTAATGAATGTTTTAAATTTTCCTTGAATTTTGTCAAGAGTCAAAGTTTGAAAAGTCAATGTGACACCTCAGACTCGTATTCGGGTCGGGTACGGGTTAGAGGTGTTACATTTAATAGTATCAGAGCTACGGTTTAGTCGATTCTCGGCATAAACCGGAGTCTAGAGTGTCTTATAAAGTATACATGCCAACAAAATAGTGAAAACTTCTGATATGATATAATAGTAAGTGAAGCAGGAGATGACAGACCCGCTGAAAGTAGCAATTCACCTGCCCTGGCCAGGCAAGGTGAAGAACATACACCTTCTGGAGTGTCTGTGAGTGATCATGATGTGTTCTTCAGGACGTTGGACGCTGTCTTGGCGCGTTTCCAACCTCCTGCTACTTTAACTCCGAAAATGAATGTTGCAAAAGAGTTGAAGGGTTTAGGAGCACCAGAGTTTAGAGGTGAAGCCGAAGAAGGTCCTGTTGCGGCGGACCTTTGGCTTAATGACATGAAAATTATGCTTGAAGGACTTCATTGTTCTGATGCTGACAAGTTGGATGGAGTAGTCTCTTTACTTTGAGGGTGTAGACACCCATTTTCGTCTGGGTCTACAAAAACATTATATTATATTTATTTATTTATTTATTATTATTATTATTTATTTTATTATTTTTGTAGGCCTCACACTCAATAACCCTAATTTAGTGAGATTCAAAGAATAAACCAACGTATTTGAGTCCTATTGAAACACTAAAACCAACGTATTTGAGTCCTATTGAAACACTAAAACCAAAACATTTTAAGTACAAGTAGGACTCTAAATCTGAGCTAAAAACAGGTTTCTTTAGACTATAAATAGACTCAAGCATCAAGAGGAAATGAGAGAAAAACGCGGAACCAAAATCAGAGGAAGGAGCAACGATTTGGAAAAACTAAGGGAAGAAAAGGATAAAAAATAAGCGTGGAGGATCCAAAGCCAGTATCTAAAAGCACGAGGAGTGGCAGAGCATTTTCATTACAAATCCAGTCTCTCTACATGCAAAACATAGGAGATGTAACAACTTTTGACTTATTCTTTTTATTTCATTTTTTATTTATTTACTTTATATATATTTTTCATTTTCTCCTAATTTTAATATTTTTATTTCTTTTTACATTGTTATATATATATATATTTTTTTCATTTTTTATTAATATTATTATATTAATATTTTTTATTATTCTTTTCTCATGTTTATTTTCATTTTTTATAATCCAACACTTTTGACTTTTTAGGGATACTTTCAATCGATCAAAGATAATTAATTCGA